ACCGTGCAAAGACTGTGGGTACAATATTCAGCAAAAACAGAGGAGCTTAGAGTCTAGTAGCAAGATACATAATGGGCTAAAAGTAGGAACGACTGAGAGAATGTTAGTCTAATTTGTTTTGCCCAAACAGTGTAACATATACTTTTGCTTGAAATAATGTAATTAAGAGAACTCTATGTAATATGAGACTTTCTACAGACTCCAACACAAAATGACTCTCCACCTCCACCCCAGGTTTTGTGTATAATCTTATGAAAAATATCTAACACTGTACAGTATTTGGGCGTGTATGTTAATCACATAAAGAAATTTCAAACTGTGGTAGTGGCAGTGTACAAGATACAAATCCTGTGACAGAGGGCCACACAGTTGATACTGAGTAGCAATCTCCTGAAGAAATAAATATATTCATATGTTAAATATAAAACAAAAGAGAATAAAAGGATTAGAAGTGAAATGATGTGGTATTTGTCTGTTCTAGAGGTGGTGACAAACCTCCAATTCTTAAAAGCCAAAAGTCAAACTACAGATTTGGTTACTCAGGCTAGAACTAAATCAGCCATGCTATATAGAATGGGTCTAGATCATGGAGCAGCCTACACCAACGTCAGCAGCCATTTTCTGTAAAAGTCCAAAGAATTTAGGATTTGGAGGCCATATGGTCTCTGTACAACTACTCAGCTTTACTGTTGTAGAATAAAAGCAACCACAGACAATAAATAAATGCACATCCATGGCTGTGTTTGAATAAAGCTTTATTTACAAAAAAAGGCAGCAGGCCCAATTTGGCCAATGGGCCATAGTTTGCCAGCCCCTGGTCCAGATCATGCAGCTGTCTGCACTATGGAGTCAACTTCAGACAATATTTATGGAGCACTGAGTCCTTGGCTCAATTCAGAAAATGGAGGCTATAACATTCCATATACTATTTCTGCTTTTTAGGCTCTTTAGCTTCCATTAAAAAAATGTGTACCCTATTTCCAGCTCAATTATCTAACAAAGAGTAGGGGTCATGCTTAACCTGGCAACATGGAAGAGCTATATAATAGGCTTTTGCCAGGGTACACAACCTTGTCCTCACTGCCTCAAAGTTGGATTGAGAGTTACAACATTCAAAGAAGATTTTTTTTTTTTTTTTTTTTTTTAGATTCCACATATAAGTGAAACCACATGGTATTATTCTTTTCTTTTTTTTTTTGATTGGAACAAGAATTTATTTGAACAGATTTATCAGAGGCTCACCAAAATCACAGCAGCATCAACCACAACTGCAACCACAAACACAAAACAAACAAACAAAAATATAATACTTTAGAAGACCCTTGGAATTCCATGGGCAACTATCAAGGACATTTGTGAATGATCACAGCTCTTTATTCCTCTATTCCTTTCATTAGATGTATGTCAGGAGATGGGAAGGTGAGTGGACAAAGAGACAGACTAAATTGAGAGTGTTATATTAATTAGTGCAAAATATGTGAGGATTTCTCAAAGTGTAGCAAGAATGAGATGAGGAAAACAATACAAGCTACAATCAGTAAAATCAGGAATGTAATAAGCAAGGCAGGGGCATCTACTGAATATGACTGAGTCCTCTTACATTTCCTAGAAGATTCTAGGGTCTTTTTTTTTTTTTTTTAATACAGCAGGTTCTTATTAGCTATCTGTTTTATACATATTAGTGTATACATGTCAATCCCAATCTCCCAGTTCATCCCACCACCACCACCCCCTTTTCCCCCCTTGGTGTCCATACGTTTGTTCTCTACATCTGCGTCTCTATTTCTGCCTTGAAAACCTATTAATCTGTACCATTTTTCTAGATTCCACATATATGCATTAATATACGATATTTTTCTTTTTCTGACTTACTTCACTCTGTATGACAGTCTCTAGGTCCATCCACGTCTCTACAAATGACCCAATTCCATTCCTTTTTATGGCTGAGTAATATTCCATTGCACATATGTACCACATCTTCTTTATCCATTTGTCCGTCGATGGGCATTTAGGTTGCTTCCATGACCTGGCTATTGTAAATAGTGCTGTGATGAACACTGGGGTGCATGTGTCTTTTTAAATTATGGTTTTCTCTGGGTATATGCCTAGTAGTGGGATTGCTGGGTCATATGGTAATTCTATTTTTAGTTTTTTAAGGAACCTCCATACTGTTCTCCATAGTGGCTGTATCAATATACATTCCCACCAACAGTGCAACAGGGTTCCCTTTCTCCGCACCCTCTCCAGCATTTATTGTTTGTAGATTTTCTGATGATGTCCATTCTAATTGGCATGAGCTGATACCTTATTGTAGTTTTGATTTGCATTTCTCTAATAATTAGTGATATTGAGCAGCTTTTCCTGTGCTTCTTGGCCATCTGTATGTCTTCCTTGGAGAAATGTCTATTTAGGTCTTCTGCCCATTTTTTGATTGGGTTATTTGTTTTCTTGTTATTGAGATGTATAAGCTTTTTATATATTTTGGAGATTAATCCTTTGCCCGTTGATTCGTTTGCAAATATTTTCTCCCATTCTGAGGGTTGCCTTTTCAACTTGTTTATAGTTTCCTTTGCTGTGCAAAAGCTTTTAAGTTTCATTAGGTCCCATTTGTTTATTTTTGTTTTTATTTCCACTACTCTAGGAGGTGGGTCAAGAAGGATCTTGCTGTGATTTATGTCAAAGAGTGTTCTTCCTATGTTTTCATCTAAGAGTTTTATAGCGTCTGGTCTTACATTTAGGTCTTCACACCACTTCGAGTTTATTTTTGTGTATGGTGTTAGGGAGTGTTCTAATTTCATTCTTTTACATGTAGCTGTCCAGTTTTCCCAGCAACACTTATTGAAGAGGCTGTCTTTTCTCAAGGAAGATTTCTTAAAGAACAAACAGTTCATCTACTCTTCAGATAATATGTATTATTGGGCCAATTCAGAGCCGAAGAGAAACAGATTATACCACTTCCTCCCACTCAGTCACTTCCTGCAGAAGAACTTTCTTTTCCTGCATTTTTCTTTGGTTTGAAGATATCAGTTAATCTAGAAAGACTTTATAAGAAATGGTCCTAAGATAGGCATTGCTACTTCTACTATAAGAGAATTCTAATCATTATATAATAGTGTACTTCATTGTCACTGAGACGTTTGTATCTGATTTAGAACTAGGAATAGTCATAAATCATCTGAAAAACCCATGTATTTTGCCTCAAGGACTCTGTGAACTATATAAATGGAAATGGTTCAACCTGACTAATAACAATATGTGGAAGAGAAATGGGCACTCGAAACCACTGGGTGACATAAATAAATTTCTATATTACCAAGAAAAGCCATTCTGGTGGCAACCTGGCATTAAGTACAAGTCCCCAAAATATTCATATTCTTTGATCTAATAATTCCACGGTAAGAAATTATCCTAAGGATAATCTATTGCAATATTTATTGCAACATTACTTTTAATAATTTTAAAAGACCTGGAAACAAAGGATATGTTCCAAAACAAAGAATTAAGTAAATTATATAAGATCCATAAGATGAAACAGTAAATAAGCATCATTTACGGAAAAATATTTGATGACATGGGAAAATCCTAATAATACACTTTTAAGTATCAAGAGCAGTAATTTAACACAGTATACATCCTACAATCCCAAATACCACAATACTGGGATTAAGAATGATTTTTTAGCATTTATACAAATCTGTATTTTCTAAAACTCTATAATGAACATAAGTTGTTTTATTTAATAAAAACTTACATTTGAAAAGTACATCATTCACTTTGACACTGGTCTCACAACTATAAATTTGTCATAGGGAACTAAAAAGGTAAGTCAATGTACTAGGTGTATTAGGTAAAACATGAGAACATATAAAAGTGACCTGTTTATAATACATCAAAATTAGAAATTATAAATAAATTTATAAATTATAAATCTGCAATTATAATCCTTGTTTTTCATGAATAGGAGAATATATTTTCCAAGTGGTCAAGTCCCTAAGAGACTTGCAACCACAAAACAATGCTTTTCAAGTCTCAGTGCTTCAGGGTTACTGTGGGCAGGCTGTAAATAATGACATACTTGTTTCCAACAACGGAGGATGTTCCACAAAGCAACGAAGAATAAAATGCTTGTGGACCCATTCATCACTGTTTCTGTTTTACAAGTTGGGGGTCTGAGAAGTTCATTTGGAAGAAGAGTTTTTGTGGTTATCTGCGTTCGCCCCCTCAGGATCCATTCCTGGCCCTTTTCTGACAGCTCCTGCCTCAGGAGGCTAATCTCTTCAGATTTCAAGACTGAATCTCCCAGGCTCCCCTGCCTGGGTTAGGCTGACGGGAGCATCAACAAGAGGACAGAAGGGTCTTGGTATATTATCATCCTTACCCCCAGGATGTAGTTTTTAGCAGTGGTTTCATCTTACAAAGCTGCAGATGTTGAATGGCCCTCCTTCAAAAAACAGGTAATCTCTTTCTCTCTTTACCCATTAAGCCAAAAGATGGTAACAACTTCCCCTGTGGCCGGTCCCTCTGCACTGCACCATCCCTTGGTAGTTCTGTTAACTCTACTCAAAGTTCATTCATTAAACTTTCTTCAATTAAACCACTTGGGAATATCATCTGATCCCTGTTGGAACCTTGTCTATTTTAGGAAAAGAAAAAAAGCCTTTTTAGAAATCACTGCCTTCGAGGAAAGCCAGGCTCCAAAACTTTCATAAAGCTTTACAAATAAAACCTTGACACGAAAACTGCAAATTTAAGCTATAGCTTGAAACTATGGAACAGACAAGTTACAAACTGTCACTATGACAAATAACAAGCATTTAAATTAATGACTGTGGAATGAGATCTACTTTTTGCCTTGAAATTCAATGAGACTCAGGACAATCTGTTACTGAAAGGCTTTCTTTAAAAAACTGATTATTCTTAATACACTTTTCAAACAAATATATATACTTAATAATGAAATGGACAGCTATAGAAAAATACTTTGCAGATCAGCAACTTACCTCTTTGAACTTGTGACTGAGCTTGCTTGTGTCCAGGTCTGATGGGGAAAACATGTCTTCATTCTCAGGCAGCTCGAAGACTTCAATGGCGATGTCACTGCCAGGAAGAACAGGTCCTACCTCATCCTCCTCTTCATCTGTGGCATATTCTCCTGTCTGAAAGGAAGGGGATTTCAGAAATCCAGCTGTCTTTACCCATGTGGAGGTGGGTTATTTTAAAATATTTTATAAAAGAGAAATAAAATATGTCACCAAATGGTAAAAGTGTAAGTAGGCTTTTGAGTCAAGCATGCCTCATTCAGCCAATGTTACAAACAAATGTTAGTTCAAAGATCCAAAGTGACATGTCTATGCCATTTATAAGTGCATTTCTAAAAATCTAAGAGCATCAGCAGTATCTTTAGTAAAGCAACAAAACCTTTATTTTAAATCAAAGTGTTTGATGTTTTTACTAAATAAAATTATGTTGCTAAGGGAAATAAGTAATTCCTTTAAATTCCCACCACCTGTAATGAATAAGTCACCTGATAGAGACAGCAGGGAAGAAGGAAGGGGAGACCAAAAGATTCATCGAGTTGGAAAGGACCTTAATTAAGCCTTACAAAGGTTTAGTAGATTGATTCTCCTAAGTTTTAGAGTTTAATCAGCTCTGTTTCATTTGTTTGTCTAACTAACGTGGTGGTTAACTAGTGACCTAAAGAATTAACCAAAGGTTTCTAACAGCCCACACAGGTGTATTGCTTTGCCTATACAGTACTACTTTAATAAATCTCAGCATTTTGGCAATGTTAAAAACTTTCACCTATTCTAGATTTCCAGTTTTTCTTGAGAAAGCCAAAGATCTGGCAATATAGGCACATAACGACATGATTAACCACTGGCCAGAGTCAGCAGTCGTTGTCCCTTTACGCAGGTACACTTTCTAATACACCATAACTTCCATAATTCATTATTCTAAGCTATTAGCATCACTCCTTCGTGATACCCACGGGCCCCTGTAGGTATATGAGTTCATGACCCTTGGAATAAATATTCCTCCTCAAGACTAAGTTCCTTAACATTATTAGAAAGTAGCTCCTCTCCTGGCAGCATCAGGCTATGAGACTCTAATTCAAAATAATTGTTTGAAATCTATACCGTCTGATATAATTTAAAGATAAATCACTGAGTCACAGTGTTGCAAAACAAAGTTCATTTAATTCACCCCTGTTCCTTCAGGTAGTATTACATTTAATACATAAAACAGCTAGGGATTCACAGTGCCTTTAAAAAAAAATTTCACAGTGTACTGAGTGATCTATTCCTTTGATTAAAGAGGCTTAGCATCTTACTGTTATTTTTTCTTTTGGTTCTACACTATATTCTTCTTGCTAAACCTGAAACGGTATTTACTTGATTATGTTTGCAAGTGAAGGAAATCCAATCCTTAACCTCAACATAATAATTCCTGATTTCTGGAAGACCATTAATGAATTGCCGTTCTGACTTCTCTCTTTCAAAGTAAAATAATTCTAGTTTCCTCGTAGGTCTCATTCTCTGTAATTGTCTTTGCGCCTATACTCTGACTTCTCTCCAAGCTCTCGGTATTTTCTCTTAAACTGTGGTGTCCAGAAGTAGATACAATTTCTATTAAGGAATCTGGTGGTCATTGACTACGATGAACAAACAAAGGATGCCTCAGCATCCTCAGACTCTTTTTCCACACACAGAGACTATTATCATGAAGACTTTGACTTTGGTGGCATTTGTGTATAGAAGTAAGGTCAGGATATTTCATACAAAGCAGTGATTTTCCAAACTGGTTACCTGTTAGTTAGAAACCCCCTTCCCCTGCATAGCCCAAATATAATCAGCGATGCTTTGACTGAAAGGGAAAG